TGTGCTGAGGACTCCAGAGCTGCCCCAGCACTGCAGGGGGGTCTCCCCAGAGTGGGGCAGAGGGGCAGAATTCCCCCTGGACCTGATGTCCACAACATGAGATTATCTACTTAGAAACAAGCAACCCAAACCTCAGTGGGCAGAGCTGCTCAGAACCTGAGGACATGCCCCACGGCATGGCCTGTGAGAGGGTGAGACTCATCTCCTTGGGAGCTATATCCAATGTGAAGCTGGATCAGTCTTTCAATTTCACAAGCCAAGAGCAACTCCTTGCGGCTGGCTGGGTAGTTTCCTTGTGGATTCTACAAGGACGCCCTGGGGACAGATGTCTGCCCACAAAAAGGACTTTCCTGGAGAAAAGGCTCAGCAAAACATTCACCACAAACCGAACTAGGCACAGGTTTTTGTTTCCTTTCACATGCAGAAATTTTATCAGCCCTTAATTTCTCTGGTATTTCCCAGAAAACAGGTTTCTGCTGAAGCATCAAACAAGATGCGTTAAAAAACTGTTGTAACTTCCTGATTCTTCCTTTCCTGCAGATTTCAAAACACATCACTGAAAGGAGCAAGAACTGTTCTCCCCCCCTACTTTTAAGTGCAAATGGAGAAAACAGTCAACTGCAGAGACAAAATTAAAATCCAAGCTCTCTCTTGCCTCCAAGGGTCTACTCAGAAGCTCCACGGTCCTGACTGGCTTCAGATGGAGCTCTAGGGCTTCAAAGATGACAAGTACCAGAGTAACTCGAACTCTTGGCTCAGAGCCCCGTGGCTCTGGTTGCAGAGCCAAACTGCAGAGCAGTTGGAATTATTCTTAGCACAGCTCAGCGAGTGCCCTCTCTATACCCTCCTAAACCAGAGGACTCCTCCAAATGATCAGGAGAACATTATGGGTCCTGGCACTGACACAAAGAGCAAGTCATATGTAAGGATTGTGGAAGGAGATGTATGTTCATTCAAACTCTGTCCTGAAACAAACGTGGTGTTTTTGAGGACAGGGAGGAGGAGGCAGTGGAGTCAGGTCTGAAGTCTTTGTCTGCAGGCTCAGTAGGCACAGACAGAAGCAGTGGGTTGTGTGGAATGATCCACCTGAAACAGCTCCCCAGAACCATCAAGGACTTACCCCACTCCAACTCATCTCATCCCTCAGACCAAAAGTGTTACAGAAACACGATGGGATTCAGGAAGTTCCAGGGGGGAAGAGAAGCCCAGTAAAGCTTTCTGATCTCCTGCTGCCTGACCAGAGCAGCATGTCCACAAACTACACAACCTCCCTTCTCAGAAGGTTGTTTTGCTAGCACAACACTGGAAACACTAATTAAAACTTTAATTTAAACTATTTGGAAACTGGGGGGGAAAAGAGCCTCCTGTGTAAGGTACTGAACTCTACACATTCATAAAACACACACAGAACCCAAAGACTTTTCATCCTCCCCTCTTCACAGATTTCACAGCTAAAACTTGTGTCTCTTAGTCAAACAAAACTGGGTCATTCCTGGGAGTTTACCTGCTGTTGCTGTTGATAGATGGTAGTTTGCTGGCTAGGGAAGGGGCTGCCCGAGGATGTGCCTTGAGTGGAGAACTGATTGCCATAGGAATCATGTCTGGAGAAGAAACAGATGCGTTACTGGGCTGATCAGACGCACGCTTCACGTTCCCAGTCTCAAGAGCTCTCTAACTGGGAAGAGCTGCTTACAGAACCCGAAGACTTTTCATCCTCCCCTTTTCACAGATTTCACAGCTAAAACTTGGGTCTCTTAGTCAAACAAAACTGGGTCAATTCCTGGGAGTTTACCTGCTGTTGCTGTTGATAGATGGTAGTTTGCTGGCTAGGGAAGGGGCTGCCCGAGGATGTGCCTTGAGTGGAGAACTGATTGCCATAGGAATCATGTCTGGAGAAGAAACAGATGCATTACTGGGCTGATCAGACGCACGCTTCACGTTCCCAGTCTCAAGAGCTCTCTAACTGGGAAGAGCTGCTTGTGGCAACAGCCTGCACAGACCTTTGCTGCTGCTGCTGTGGGTAGCGGCTGGGAGAGTACATCCCTGACTCAGGGGTGGAAGGCAGGATGTTTGGCTGTGGAGTTCCTGTTGCCAAGTTGCCCTCGGGTCCCATGCCGGGCTCCGTCCTACACAGAAACAGAAGAAAAAAACCCCACACATCCCCTTAAATTCACCTGACATGGACAAGGATGACCATAGCAGTGAAGAGCAGGTCACCCTTTCGCAGGAGTCAAGGAGATGAGGATCCCAGCAGGCTCCTCAAGGAGATGAGGCTCCAGCACCCACCTCACTCTGTCGTAAGGACCTCCGTAGGAGTAGTGTTGCCGCTGCCCCATGGCCATGTTACCCATCCCTGGGCCTGCAGCACGATTGTAAGGGTCACCCATACCACTGTTGGGGCCCTGCCCTGAGGACATGAAGGGATCGCTTCCTGGAGCTGAAACACCAAAAGAAGGACCAATAAACACGTCCACCTCTGCCTCAGAAAGGTCTGTCCCACCTCGTGGGGAAGCAGGGCAAGCAGAGGGTCTCCTACAGCACCTTCCAGCCATTAGTGCTCAAGGTGTAAAGGGAGAGGAGCACACGAGGACGTCCTCACCTTTCCTCATACTGCTGTAAGGATCTTTATTTGGCTCGTAAGACATGCGACCCATCATGTCAGAGGTATTCATGCTGGGCTGGTACCCTGGATTTGGAGTCATGGAGTTCCGTTTCTGGAACGTAGGATCACTACCATCTGCAAAGGCATCCTGAAGGCCCACTGAGTTACTCCTGGTTCAAAAAAAACCCACAAACACCGAATTATAGAGGTCCATGACACTCCTCAGGATACTTTTCCCCACGTTCCCTCTCAGGTGTTGCTATCCCCTAGAAGGATCACCCTTCTCCAGCAGAGGCATGAAGAACTGCCCTTCTACAACACCATCCTCAGACCCAATCCCAAAGTAATGGTTATTCACACACAGATGCAGTGTCAGCAATGCTGCTGTTAGCTAACAAGGGGAGAAAGCCATGGAGCCCCACTAGAACAGGAAACTCAAGTCTCCAGCCCTCTGTAGTAAAGAGCCAGGAGTGACCCCAGGTTCACAGCCTGCATCCAGCACGGCAGAAGAGGCTGCAGTGGTTTCGTACCTGATGCCTGGCAAAGGGGGCATCTGACTGTGTGGTGTAGATGCTGGAGTTGGTGGCTTCAAGTCTCCTCCTTCTGCCATGGAGCTGCTGGTGGACTGAGGTGTCTGAGGGCCCTGCATTGAGCCTGAACCCGCTGCAAGAACAGAAAGGTGGTGTGAGCTGCTTCCCACCCTACAAACGCAACCCAGGACCTCCCAGAACATCACCATGAAGAACAGGAAACAAAGGCTCCTTCAAGAAAGAGACAGATGAAATATGGCAAATAAAGAGCAAGGAATTCAACATTTCAAGGACATACTGGGTCAGGCTTCCCAGAAGAACCATGTGCAGCAGTCTGAAGCTGAGAGGACGTGTTTGTTTCCATCACACCTTCATTCTTAACCCCATTCCCTTTTACACATTGTGCTGCCACTGTGCCACTGTGTCCTGTTGCCCAGACTATCTAGCTTCAAAGGTGTTGCTCTACAGTGCACCACGTGGCAGGGAACACTTCTTGCCACGTGAGAACTGCTGACCCATCACCTTCACTTTCTACCTAGGAACAAGGTGGGTTTGAGCCTTTGAGCCTCCTCCTGGAAGTGTCACAATCTCTCTAGTGATGGAAACTCCAGGACGTCAGCCAAAGTCGCCAAGTCACTCTGAACAAGGCTCCTCTGTCTGCTCTGCCCCTTCGAGAGGGGTTAATTCATGCAGGTTAATTCAAGCACCACTCCCAAGGATTCCTGGAACAGGGAATGCCGGAGATGCCGGATCTTTCACTGAATGACAAAACCTGTCCAGCAGGTTCCCTGCCTCTGTACGGGTCGCTTGACGCTGCAGTAAGTTTTCATCAGAGCTCCCAGGCCACCGTGTGTAATCCAGCTGTGCTGCCAGCTCCAGGAGCTCTGCTCTGCCCCTGGATCACCCCGCCAGCGTCAGCTCTCAGGTTCGTAGGCTCCTTGCAGCTGGCAAGAGCTGAACTCTTAATTAATGTTTCCATTAGTTACCATCCCCAGCACCCGATATCCCTCAGCTTCAGCCCTGCTGCTTGATGAGTCATTTCAGCTATTCATTAAAATCCTCCGAGGTCACGTCCAGGGCATGTTTGTTTACACCCCACCTTCCTGGCACCCTGTCCTCTTCTCCACGACTCCCTCCCAGCCCGGGGAGGTCTGGGGAGAAGGAAGGGAGCTCAGCAGGGAGCTTCATTCACGGGCCCTCCCCACCATTCTCCTTCCCTGTCGGGGGGTTCAGCTCCGCTCGCCTCCCCCAGGAACTCGCCGCCCGTCTCCCTCTGTGAGGCTGGCACTGGCAGGAAGAGGCCTCGAGACATTCCCCACGTTGCTGCCATTTGGTGTTTGTCCCCACCCCCTGCTGTCCCTCCCACTCACAAATTTACACACAGTTGGAGCAGGGCCAGCTCCACGCTCTGGGAATCAGAAGCCAGCAGCGGGCCGATTACAGCTCCCCAGGGACACACGAGCAGGAGCCCAAGGAGGTTTGCAGGGAACCTGCACCCAGCACCCACGAGGCCATACCCCGACCACTCTAGCCAGGGCCCATCTTCAAACACTCCTGGTTTTTGAGGATTATGCACAGAAAGCAGCCCTGGCACCAAGAGTTCTACCCAGAACAGCGTCCTGCAACCCCCTTAGATGTTCTGCAGCCTCAAAAGGTGGATAATGGAGAACTGTGCAGTGTGATCCTCAGCACTCAAAGTTCTGCAGTAGTTAGTTTGACAAAACAGGCTAAAATGAAGAATAAGCCAACACCAAAAGGTTATCAAGTCTGCAAAGAGATCAAAGCACACATGGGATTGACAGAGCCCTTCATCCAAATGAAGGGACTTCAAACCACTCCACTGCTGCCTGCTCGGTTGTCAAACAGGGAACTTATTCTCCATAAGGGTGATTTGCTGGGAGAAAGGACTCTCTGTGTGTGCAGCTCTGGAGGATGCTGCTTCAGCAGGGCCTCCACAAGCCCCTGGACCTCCAATGCTCCTCTAAGGCTCCTAGTCTGGAGCTGGGGTTGAGAGAGTTTGTGTCGTGCCCTGTGCCTTCCATTTCTGCTGATCCAGCAATGATCAGAGAGGAAGAGAATGATCCAGGAAATGGTCCAGAAAAGAGAGAGGAAGAAAAAGAAAGTGAAAGAGAAGCACAGACATGCTGAGTGATATGGCCTAAAGGATCAGAGCAACCAATCATGCTTCAGTGCTGCCTCTGCACAGTCCGATTCGCTGAGGTCTCAAGAAAGACCAGTTTAAATACAGCACAGTCCTCTCAGAGCATCAATCAAGCCTGCAGACAAAGTCAATACAGCTTCACAAACATGCAGGGTTTGGGATAGCAGCCCTGCAGGCTCCTCCTCCTGCACTGAAGCAAGGGATGACCTGTACCTCAGCCCAGAAGGCAAGCTCGCAACCTTCACTTACCACCACAGGAGCTAAAGCAAAGTTAAAATTGATGCACTGTTCTGACAGGCATCTAGTGCTACAAGAAGTTTTACATGCCTCCCTTAAAGGCTCAGCCCTCTCCAAATAAACTCCAAATGCTTATCTCAACATCTCTGTTCCACTGCCTAGTATCTCAGGGGGAGGGAGGGGGGACAAGAAAGAGGTTTTGGAAAACAAGCAGGAATGGATTTTTGGTCTAGCTGAAGCAGAACTCAGACACCACTTTAGACAGAAGTTTAGTCTAATGACACAGAAGTTGCTTTATCTTGCAGAATACACCAACGTTGAAGCTACACCCAAAGAGGTTTCCTGCCCAGTGAGGAGATATGATTTAGTTCTTTAAAAAAAAACAGCACTCTGTAAACTGAGAGGATAGATAAATGTAGTTGCCAACAGAATATTCGGACAAGCATGCTGTAGAGCAAGGGCTTCAGGGGGCTGAGACAACTGCAGCACAATCAAAAAAGGGCTCATTATTCCACTCCTTGGGAGCTAGACAAAGATGATGCCAGGTTTCAGAACCAAAAAGGCATTTTCTGCAAACACTACAGGAACTTCAAAGCAGGCAAAGTTTTTATTTCACCTACACGAACAGGCTCCTGACCAGAAAAAGCATCTGAAGGTTTTACTTATAAGAAAAACTGGAAAACTGAAGCTTTAAAGTGTTGGCAAGTTCAGCAGCAATTCAAGTGCTGAACTAGATGCAAATGAGACAGAAATGATCAGACTTTCCAAAGACTAAAGAGTACAGCACGCACAGCCAGCCTGGACTTCTGTTTGTTTGTTCAACAGATCTGAATTGAACACTATGCTTCAATACTCAGAAACCAGAGCACCCCATCAGATATGAACCAACAGCACAAGCTCATTTTAAAGGGCTCGAGTTCTAGAGCATCCAACTTGTAACAGGCTCCCAACGCTCTCTGTGCACAAAGCCTCAGGAAGTCCTGCTGAGGGTGGGAAGGAGGAGTTCAGGAGGAAGTTGAGTGCACACCCACATCAGCATTTACTCCCAGGAGGCAGCACTTGCCTTGTCAAAACGAGCAGAACTTTCCTAGCAGGTCCCCAAAGCTAAGCAGTGACAAGGACTGCTGTCAGATCATGGGGAGGTCCCCTCACAGGGCTAACTCCAGGCTTCCCTCTCCACCAGATGCTCTCTCCTAAGGCAGGGATGCAGCACACAGAGGTGTGTGTATGCAGCTACATACTTATTTTTATGTTTCCCTTTTTCTTAAACAGTACAGGACGTGGGACACACACAAACTGAACTATCCCAAGGGACCTGTGTCACTCACTCACACGTCACAAAGTGTTTAATCTACACAACCAGAGAGCATCTCATCAGGCAAAGACAGGGGGGGTTTGTGGACATTTGGAACCAGGCTGGCCCACAGCATGTAAGTGTCAGAGATCCTCTGGTTGAAACATTCACTGCACCCAAACTCACCTGGAGATGGAGGCTGTATCTTAGTCTGAGACTTCTTTGAATCAGCAGCTGCAAAGATATCTGGAGGGGGGTCTTCACCTCGCTCAATCTTGCACTCGAAGGCATACAGACACTGGATGTACTGCTTCTTCAAAGAACTAGCTGCACTGCTGGACGTGCCCACGTTGAGATTTGTGGCTAACTCACGCCACTTCTTGTTCTTGTTGACCTGCACAACCAAACAAGAGGCTCTCAACTCAAAATCCTCCTCCAAGATCTTTTCTGGGGAGAAATCGGCACTTCCCAGCTAATAGAAAGGATGCAATAAAGGCTAAGCAGAGCACATATGGTTGTTTTCAAAACCCAGAACTAGACAAACCCCTTCCCTTTCTGCAGGAAACTTTTCAAACAGAGACAGATTGCAAATCAAATCAGTCAGATCAGCTGACAGCCAGATGCAAACACAGTGTCACCCATCTTTGCACTGGCCAAAGCAGGGAAAAAAAGCACTTGAACTGAATCCCACCAGTGTTCTCAACCAGACAGTGGGTGAGCAGACACGTGGCTCACTTAAAAGATGATTTTAAGCATCATTTAAAGGATGGTTTTATAAACATGATTTAAAAAAAATTAAAACAAGATAAACACAGTTATATGGGAAGTTGTGGCTTGCATCTAGCTACAAATCTGGCTGGGAACTGTGCTGTCCCCTGGCTTGTGACTGAATGCAAAGCACACTGGCTGCTGGACACTCACCTGAGTCAACCCTCCAATCTCCTTCACTGAGATGTAGAGCCTGTAAAGGTCCAAGGGTTTCCTGCCCACTGCTGGGAGGTTGGTCATGCCCATGGCCTTCTCTTCAGTGAAGGCCAGGTAACGATCCACCCAGATCTTCCTCTCAGGCTCACCACCCAGCTCGTAGAGTTTGGTGATCTTCTCATTGGTTGTAGTAGAAGAACTGGACTTCTAGGAGAAGGAAAGAGATATCAGGACTGAGCAGCACAAAGGCAGCTAGTTCATATCCCAGAAGGATCCAAAGAAAGTCAGATAAAAGTTCAAAGTTCTGCTGTTATACTGAGAACAGCTTTATATCAAACCCACACTCATCTCAGATCAACCTGAACCAAGCATTATTCAACAAAGGTGTCACAAACCTGTCTCTCCTCAGGGAATTCACAGAATCTGTATTTTTTGAAGTGTTACATGAATGCTACAGAAGCCAAAAATCACAAGGAGACTTTGCAAAGAGCCATCTCTCTAGACAACAGGAATTTAGGAATTCCTGAATAGGCCAGAATTTGGAGTACAAGATTAGTTATGAAGTGTGAGTATCTCACACTAGTTCCTGCACATCTAATTCACCAAATTGTGTGACTGTGAGAGGTAAAGCCTGTGGTCCTGAACTTGGCCTTGCTTCCCACAAGTGTCTTCATGTAGTGCTGAGCAGGTTATTTTGTCTTTCTCCACGTGGATCACTTGGAGTACAGGCAGAAATGGTTTGGGCATTCCAAATGCTTACTTAAAGATGAACTTCCAAAGTAGAAGTGAACTTCAAATCTGATCATGTTCTAGATGAACCAACCCCTACTCCCAAGACCGAGTGTATCCAGTAATCAAATGCTTACTTAAAAATGAACTTCCAAAGTAGAAGTGAGCTGCAAATCTGATGATGTTCTAGATGAACCAACCCTTACTCCCAAGACCGAGTGTATCCAGTAACATGTGAGTTAATCCTTGACCAGAGCAGACCAGGAGGACACAATAACCCTTATTTGTAGCTTCTGTCACCTCCTAGCCCAAGAGCATTCCACTACTTGTTTGTCATAAATAGAAAGGCAGATGCCAAAACACATGAGCAGAAGTGAGAGATCTTCTGAATCTTCTTGCAGACTGCTGGTGGTGGAGGCATCAAACTTGCAGAGCATTTATTTTCCTTCCAGCAGCAAAAGAGGAAACTACAGGCTCAGAAACTGCTTTTTTGGCAATTCTTCTGAAAGCAGCAATGCAAAGAAAAACACTCCCTGAAGAACTTGTTTGCCTCCTTCTTCTGGCTTTAATACAGGATTAGTAACAGGTTGGTTTGTGAAACTACTGGAACACTTTAGTGTCCCACCTGCCAGCTCAGAGGTGATAACTGACCAGCTCCAACCCTACACCCAGGAACACACTCCAGTTTGTTGACACTTCTATTGGCAACTTCACTGGGTCAAGTGATAAATTCCTAATACTAAACTGGTTTGCAAGTAAAACTGATCACTCCCAAAGGACTGGGAAATGCTCCCCTTCATTTCTGCCCCGTTTATGTTCCCAGAGTAAAGCCCTCAACTGTCTGAATTTTCCTGATAAATCCTGAGGAACCTCTTGGAACCACTGGCACAGTTCAAGCAGAGCCAGGGTAACACATCAAGTCTGATTCATGTTCAGTCTCCTTACACTGAGTGCTTCAACTCCATGGTCTTTGCCTTGACACTTCTGATTCAAGCACAGTCTAATTAGCTGCTTGTAGGATCTGGGGACTTCAATGAGGCTGACCCAAGAGGTGCATCTGTTCAGGTACCTTCTCCCCAGCTAATGAAGGCAAGACTAGCCCAGAATTGAAACAAGAACATTTAATAAGATGTGCCAGGCATCCATCAGAAATTCTGAACAGAAGCTTGAACTCCTAAGTCCTAAACAGGGAGGACATGTAAATTCTGATAGAAAAGTCCCTTTCCTGGCCTTTCTGAGACCTAGCTGGCTGGGGATGGCAGAGTTCAGGTTCCTCAACAACACCCTCATTAACATACATGGGTATTTAGAGGTTTATTGCAAATACAGCCAGAGCCCACTCCAAAACACACATACACAGGTTTCAAAACACTTATTTTCCCTATGCTTCAACAGCTAACAGATCCCAAAAGAGGATATCTCACTCACTCACCACACTCCTGAGATAGAACCCTGGTCACAAGCACCACTCAGACCACAGACTACAAGGACAACCACACTAATGAGAAGTCTGCTCAGGGCAAGGAGCACAAATCACATCAGGTTTCTCTCAGGAACCACACTCACTACTAGACAGAGGCACCATTCAATCCCAGTTAACACACAATGGTTTCGCTTCCCTGGATGCTGAACAGAATGGGTCATTAAGAACAAAACCCAAAACATTTTACCTTTGACTTGGATTCAGCTTTTGGTGTCCCATCTGCCTTATTGTTCATTTTAGTTGCAGGTGTTAACTTGACGTCCCCCAGACCCATCATTTCAGGGCTTGCTGCCATCCCTAGGAAGTTACAAGAATCTTTAACACCCATTTTCAGTCCAGTCCCTGAGACCAGTGGAAAGCCCCAGAGGCAGCACTGCTTACCTGCAGAGTTGTTGGCCATGTTCCCCCCCATTGGATAAGGTGGGCCCTGGGGGTTTATCATCCCAGCCATGCTGTTAATTCCCTGCCCATAAGGAGGTCCAGTGCCCATCATTCCCCCTTGATTCATGTTGGGATAACCAGGAGGCCTGGAGGAGGCAAGGGAGAAACAAGAGGCTTACTTCAAATACTAGAGATCTTGTCTTCTAGGGCAGCAGGTTTGCTAAAAGAAACTTTCTCTGAAGGAAGCAGAGTAGTGACTTTCTCCAGCTCTTTTCCAGCAAAAGACCTAAGATTGGGTGTTCTTTTAAAGCTTAGCTACCCTACAGCCTCAGCCTCACTCTCCAAAGAAAATGGGATGCAAACCATGTTGAAAATGGGACTTCAGTTCACTTCTGAACATTTTTCATCCTTAATCTTGTTCCATTACAACCCCAAAACTAACTTCTCAGTTGTTATGTTGCCTTTGCAGGGAAGAACAGATCTGCAGATTCTGCAGCTCTCTATGCTTCAGAGAGATACATGATTTCTGCAGATCAACAGTGGAGTTCTCAGGCCACACTTAATTATCTATCTTTATTTCTCTCCCTTTTCCCTTTCTTTCCCACCCATACAAGCTCCTTTATTTTACATATATCAGAAAACCTCACCTACAACTAGCACTCAAACGTGTTACTCAGTGGGACAGGCTTTGATGCCTTTATTGGTGTTTGGGAACTTGAACTCTTGGCAGTCACTGGTACCATCAGACAGGAGATTGCAGAAGCAGCCCTTAAGTCAGGATAAAGAGCACAATGCTCAGTCAGACAACAAATGTATCTAACAGCTCTACTGGAGGAACCTGATTTATAAGCCTGTTAGTTCATGGCTGTCATGGCATTCCAGCAGGCCACATACATCTACTCTTAAGAGTAAAATAAAACCCAAAAATCCTTCAGAAAATAGCTGCAAAGCTGAGTGTTGAATTCCAACTCCCTTCCCCACAGCTGCTCATCAAGGGCCTCACTACAAGGAGGACACTGAGGACTGAGGCACAGCCAGAGATGGGTAACAATGCTGGGGAAGGGTCCAGAGCCCAAGTGTGGTGAGAAGCAGCTGAGGGAGCTGGGGGTGCTGAGCCTGGAGCACAGGAGACTCAGGGGAGATCTCACTCTCAACAACTACCTGAAAAGAGGCTGGAACTATGTGAGGGTTGGGCTCTTCTCCCAAGGAACAAATAACAGGACAAGAGGAAATGGCCTCAAGTTGCCCCAGGGGAGGTTGAGGTTGGCCCTGAGGAACAATTTCTTGCCCTGGAGGGTTGTCCAGGGCTGTGCCAGGCTGCCCAGGGCAGTGGTGGAGTCCCCACCCCTGGAGGGGTTTCCAAGCTGTGGAGATGTGGGATGAGGGACACGGGGCAGTGGGGACCTGGCAGGGCTGGGCTAACAGTGGGACTTAATGGTCTTAAAGATATTTCACCTCTGAATATTAAAAACTCCCTGAGCATGCTGTTGATGATTATTCACATGCTGCCTGTCCAAGCTTTATGCTCTTCCTTTTTTAATACTCAAGACTGACGAAGGCATCTCCAAGGAGGCCAAACCTTCCCGAACTCTACATTCAGGATTACCCCAAATTCGGGTTATTCCACCCACAGCTCTGGATGTGGACCTTTCAAAGTCAGCTCTGACAGAGAGAGGGGACCCTAGCAGAGAGCAGGGGAGACCTCCCTCCTCACCTGGTCTGGATGGAGTTGGCAGCAGCGTGCATGGCGGCGGCGGCCGCCTCCTGTGCTTTGCGGTTCATGCCGCCGGGCGGGGGGCACATCCCTGTGCCCACCTGAGGGGGCATGTTGGCCATGTTGGGTCCATACGGCCTGTTCCCCATGGTGGCATGGCTCATCCTGCCCGGAGGAAGCCCGCTGTAGGGTGGCACACCAGTCTGCCCGTGCATCTGGCTCCCTGCTCCCATGGGGTTCATGCTTCCTCCCATTCCCGGACTGGGGTAGTTGGCATTGGACATAGCATTGTAGTTTGGCTGCCTGGGATAACCTCCTGAGGAGATAAAAAGAGGGGAAGACAACAACATTCAACTAGTTAAGTTTATGAATCACCATAAAAATCTTCTATCAGCAAATATTTAAAGATCACTAACAGAGATGAGGGGGAGTGTTAACACCTCAACAAAAAGTCAAAGTACTTGGCTATAAGCCACAGAAAATGTGTTTTGACATAGCCAAGTAACAACATGGGATTCAAAAGCTGCCTGAAGCTCTCCCAAACCTCAGACCAAGCAGAGGGAGCTTAGTTGTCCAGGATGGGATGTAAAAAGCTCATTTAACCCTTTCTAAACCACTCATTTTTCTTCCCTAAAGGGAATGGGCCCTTCCTATCACACAGGATATACAACCTACATCTTTTTAGATGAGGAGGAAGGATCCTACATTTTAAAAGTACAACAAGCTCTGAAAGGCACATATTTCAAAGTCATGACCAGGTTGGATGGAGCTCTGAGAAACCTGATGTAGTGGGAGGTGTCCCTGCCCATGGCACAGGGGTTGGACCTGGGTGATCTTTAAGGTCTCTTCCAACCCAACCCATTCTTTGATTCTATCAATCTCAACATGAACAAAGCAGTTTCTTCCACCTCATCAGAAGCACAGTTTTGTTACCCACACATTCAGAGAGGACAAGTACAGTTTATCAAAGACAAGATGTTCTAACAGAGAGAGGCTTTTTGTATTTGCTGAGCTCAATTCCTACCCTGAGGAGCTGTCTGTGCCTCACCTTGAGGTCCATACTGTCCACCCTGGGGTCCGTAGCTCCCCATGGAGTTCTGCTGGTATGGCCCCATTCCAGCATGCATCTGTCCTCCAGAAGACTGACGGGGAGATAAGGCTGAGCCAGGCTGGGGTGAGCTGTACTGGGGCATCTGAGGATTCCTCTGCATGTAACCTGGTCACCCAGTGAAGGAAGCAGACAAGCATTAGCACAAAGTATCCAAAGGTGCCACTGGACACACATGTTCTTAGTAACAGCAACCCCAGGACTCACTAACAAAATCCTTCCAGCAACTGCCTGGACAGATTTTACAGTGGTTGCTGTTAAGGAGCCAGTGCTATCTGCTGAGATAACACATCCAATTTCCTGGTTTGGCCAGGAAAAAAACCCACACCTTAGTGTCACAGGAGCAGACAGTATGACCTTGCAAACCCTAAGGGCTTCTTGGATTTTGTTTGTTTTCTCATGGTGACAACTATAAAGCTCCAGTGACAAGAGCTGAAATTTTACCAGCATTTCTCTCCCTCCTGCCCTGATTCTCTTTGAGGTAAGAGGCATTCAGCATTGTTGCAAGCATCCCTCATTTTGAATCTTAAGGTCATGGACCTTGGACAAGCAACGTTGACAGAAAAGCATGTCAAAAACCAGAGAGAACATATTACAAGCCAAACTACCAGCGTGGGTGGAACATTCAGAACCCCAACAACCAGCAACTGTTGAATTTCCTGCAAGGTGCCTGAACATTCGCAGCCTATAAACCTGGGGCAGGGTTTAAATGTTCTCTCACCATCGAGTCATCAGGCCAGGTAATTTTTCCTTACACATTTAGCTTTACAATTACATCTTTTAAGTCATGCCACACACCTCGATCTGGAGCTATGCTTGACTGGTTCATGGAAGGATGCATGATACTGTCTGACTGGCCACTGGGCGGTCGGGGTGGCATCTGATTGCCTAAACCACAGAAAGGAGAGTGGTTAATCACCAAAATTTGACACCACAAAACCCAGGAGGCCAGAGTATTAAACACCAGAACTACAAACAGCTTACAGAGAAGGGTATGGACACCACAGGGAAGGAAAACAAGAGCAAGGTTGGTCATGTTAATGCAGCAAAATCACAGTACTGGTTTACCAGCCATCTCACCCATCTTACAGACAGTTTAAAGGAGACAAACGAGATCACAGGACCTCAGTGACCACCTAGCACTGACACTGGCCAGGTTAGTTTACTCTCCAGCTGCATGAGGCAGCCCCATGGAAGATCAACATGTGCTGAGCAGCATTACCTGGTACTGCAGCAGGTGAAAGTGGACCAGAGCGGGACTGAGCAACACTAGCTGGAGATCCAACTGGGGATGGGGAGGGTCCTCTGATGCCTGGCAGGTGAGGAGAGGTATGTGGAGAGAAAGGAGACTGAGCTGGGTTACTCTGCTCTCCTTGACTGCTGGAAATCCCTGATGTGCTTACTCCAGGACTCAGGGCTCCTTCTGTACCCATGGGTAGATCATCTATTGAACCAGACAGGTCCTGCAATACACAGAGAAACAGATCAGGCAAAAATCAAAAGACATGGGACTGTTCTCTCACACACCACTAAGAAAGAATGTATTTCTCCCTCAGGCACACTACAAACAGCAATCAATGAACTCTGTTTGTGTTACTGTCAGTAACGAAGGCTGCTGCAGACTGAGGTAACTGCCAGATGTGTCTTATCCTGCTGCCAGTCTCTGAGCCCCAGAGTTCTTCGTTGGTTTGCCCAGTGTTTGCTGATGGTCCCAGCAACTGGATAATTCTCCTACTTTCTTCTCTGATTTCAATTTAGAGGTGAGAAATTAAAGAATGCATCAGCAATACACAGAAAACTGAAAACAGAGGAGAGAGTCCATGTGATCGTGGCTTGGAAGAGAAACGTGGCTCAGCTTCTGAAAGACAGAAACTCCTGCCTCACCATAATTAATTCATAAACCTCCTATGAGCTGGGAAACTACTCACTTGAGATGGATAAAAACAAACTAAACACAGATTTAAAAGAAAACCATAAAATACTCTTCAGGGTTCCCACTTCCCTTTCTTCAAAGATAGCAACAATTAGCAGTTACAGTATCAGCCTTTGAAGTTCAGCTTCTCTTGAAGGCAAGGCTGGAAAATACCCTCCCCACTGCACCTCTCACCCTGAAGAAGCACAGAAAGTGTAAGCACGTTGCAACCTCCAATTGCCAGAGTAGCAACTGCAAAGGGACAGCTCTAAAATTCAGCTGGCAAGTCTGAAAAACGGGGATGCCTCCAAGAAGAGGACGTGCAGATCCAACACACACAGTTTTACCAGCTCTTTGATAACAAGGGGCACCAGCTCTTCAGGCTTCGCCTGGAGTAAACAGCTAACAGGCCTGGAGTAAATAACTAACTGTCCAAGGCAAAGTAAGTGATGATGCATTTGAACAGAAAGCTGGAAGTTACAACTTCACCAGCAATGAGGTAAAATCTCTACCAGAGATTCAAAGGATGAGAGCAGGTGAGGAAGTGGCCAACCAGAGCTTACCAGGACTTCACCTAACCTCTCCAAGACTTCCAGAGCAATCAACCCTGGATCAGAGAAGTTCTGGCCATGAGCCCCAGAGGCATTTCTGATAACTCCCTCTGCAGAGAATTCAGCTGACCAGCACAAACAGAGCCAAACTCATTGAAAACACCAGGCAGAAAGGCCAAGCCAACTGATAAATAACGTGGACACCCTGGTCTTGTTTACACTGCCTGGATGATGCCTCGTTTAGGAGCAGCTCAGGTGATACTCTCCCAGCTCTGTGCAGTGTGGAAGGGCCTCAGGCATGGGATACTGCAAATTTATCAGCCTTCAGAAGCAAGCAAGAGCTGTACTGCTCCACAGCACCTGCCTGCCAGGTGGTGTGTGAAGAGGCTCTGACAGCATGTCCTCCTCATCCAAGCTGGAGACATGTCACCACATCCTCAGAAGGGGAAAACTGGAGCTACTGAAGAATAAAACACAACCCAGGAGATCTCCAACCAGCTCATCACACTGGTGGGACAGACAGGGACGTTCAGAATGGGAGCACTGGCCATCAGCTGCAGCACCTCCAGCTGTCTGCTGCAGCAGGACAATGTTGTCTATTCTAACAGCAGAATTTGATCAAAATGCTTCTAACAAATGCCAGCAAATGCTCTGTTTGGGCTGAAAACACCAGTCACTTGGTGAGATGCCTTAGTGCAGAGCATGTCCTTCCTCCTTTTCCATTACTGCTCCTGTTTGAGAGATCATTTCCTGCATGATGGTCTCAGAGGTATATTTGTTTACTGCTGAAGCATTATCTTCCTGAGAAAAAAGAGCAGCTTTGTTTTATTTCAACGAAAGCTAAAAACTGCAGAAAAAGCCTAAAAATAGTGTCTAAGAGCTCTTGCAATTTTCATAACTATTGTAACATCAAAAGCATTGCTCCTTTATGCAGCTACTTACTTTTTCTCCAGGACAACTTTCGACAAACCCCACATTCCTACTGCAGAAACCACCTGAAGCAGGAGTAAGGAGACAATATTTCCAATATTTTGCATTAAAAAGGATCAACCAACAAAAACAAGAGCAAAACATCTCTCTCCCTGGGACTTGCTGCATTTAACTTCAGCCACTGGTGTGAGATACACACCTAGATTCCTCTCCAAGTCAACAAAGAGACCAGAATGTCCAGAAACACATTCAGTCCAAACTAAAATTGGATGGAAACATTGGTATTTCCCTTAAATGCATGAAGGTGCTGTTAGTCTCTATCAGCCAGGTGCATCCAAACACCACTTTCACCACCACTGAAATCAAGCTGGAGGCCAAAACCCTTTGCAGCTTCAACACCTCCACCACTGTGAGCTTATGTGGATATGGTGTTTGAGAGCAGTTAAACCTCCAGACCAGAGGGGCAGAGTCTACAAAGGAAAAAAAGGCTCAAAAGAAAAAAAAAATTTATAAAAATGTACACCTGAGACAAAGTATTGGCATGAAAGGACAGATACAGAGCAAATATGTGGGGTGAAATGGGGAAGTTTCCTTCCATTATCAGGGGTATAAGTGATGTGCTTCTCCAGGAGGCAAGAGGTTTGTCTCCAGGACCTGAGGACCTGTCTGCTACAAGGTACAAGCAACATTCACAGATGAACTGGGCAGACTAAAGAGGATCTGACTTGGTAATGCCAGGCACGAAAATCTCTGCAAGATATAAAATGAAGCAAAGTTAAAAACTGTTCGAAAATTAACTCCTGAGGAACTAGATAACAATCTGTAAAGCTGATGTCTTCGACCTTGCCTGTGCATCAAAGCTTAACCTAAGTACTGCAAGTCATTTAAAAAACATTCAGTTTTAATTAAGCAGGTTAATGCAGAGTTGCTGGAGATGAGGAGCCAGGGCCCCTCTGCATTGCTGGCATACCATCAGGGACCTCACCGAGGAGCAGGAGGCCTTCTAGCCATGGGGCTCTGCATCAGATGCTCAGATCATCACATTAACCAAGTTAAAAGTGAATTACAGCTCAACCTTTCCTGTACCTTAGAACATGAATTCAAACAGGACCATAAAAATCAAGCAACTCATAAAGTGACTTCCAGCTCTGAAGGTCTGTACGTTCTATGAATGCCATCAGTAAAATCATTTCCCAGCACACAAATGCTCTGCCAGCACAATGGCATTTTCTGAGAGTTTTATTCAGCAGGACTGAGTTTCTCAGAAGTGAGACTCCTGTGCAAGGGGAAGGAGAGAAACAGGGACTGGGATGTCCAAGTGCAAGCAGCTACCTGGTAAGGAGCTGTTTTTAACCTATCAAGTTATTTTCTCAGGACGCCAACCACCAAGGTTTGGTTATTTTTCTTCCAAAGGACATCCTCCAGCTCTGATGTCCCATTTACTCAAGTGCATCACAAACCAGGGGAGAAAGAAACCTCTCAATCTCTCTACAGACTGTTTTAAGAACAGCTGTAGTAGAGAAGCCTTTAAAAAACAGCAAAGCTCACTGAAATCACAGAGACCTGCTGCCGTCAGCGGGTTCTGGACCAAGCCCAAGAGGAGAGGGCCAGCGAGCTTTTATTGGCCTCCCACAGAGCATCAGGAGGAGACCTGGAAAGACACGGCAGCCCCAGGAGAAGGGCTCTCCTCTCCCCTCCTCCTGGAGAGCACAGCCAATCGAGCCCAGACGGGAGGTGAGGCTCCACAGCAGTAACTCTGCCAACTTGAAGGAAACGTCAGGGTCTGGAGAATTTCCTCACGTGTTTCCAATGTGGTTTTTTATGCGTTTTATTGCTCATCTGCCATGCAGATCAAAAACGCTGGAGGGATTCCAACTATTTCACACAGAATCTCACACTCCAGGCTGGCTGCAGCCCCAAAGCCTGAGTTTCTTCACTTGAAATACTGCCCAGTGTTATTTTGGGATGTGACCTGATAGCGGAAGCCCACGGGGACCCCGGGACGATAACCGTTCCAGCTGCGACTGGTTGCCCAGCCCTCACTGATGCCAGCATGGGTTTGTCAGGACTGCTGACAAACAAGGACTCAGCAGCTAACACCTTCTTTTCACACCACAACAAACCCATGCCTGAAATCACACAAGCTGGTACCCAAAGGAGGGGGCAGGGGAGTTCAGCTGTCTCGGGGAAAGGGCTGCAAGTCCTGGCATGACCAGCACAAGGGAGCTGGTTAGATGATGCTGGAAAAGGCACGGTGACTTTTCCAGGAGAAGAGTTACCACCATTTCACTATCTGATACAAGCTCATTTGTTAAACAAACACAAAGATGAAACAACCAAGAAATACTTAAGATCAAGGTAACAAAACCCCAGAGGAGAAGAGATTCAAGGCTCCACTCTGGCCCACCCCACTGATCTGGAAGAGCAGGAAGACTGACCAGAAAGCAAACTGATCTCCTCGCTGGGGACTGCAGCCTTCCTCTGCTACTCCCCTGCCCATCCCTGACCTAAGTACATGTGAGAAGTGTGGGGGAAGAGGGGAGGAGTGCAGGCAGGCTCTGACGATTGTCAGCACTACCAGATCACTAGATAGCACTCAAGGAAATTATGATCAAGACGAGCATGTGGTGGAGCTTATAAATTCTGTAAGGCCAGTTGTTTCCATAAAGATGCTTACAAGCAAGACCAGAGAACAATGGCTAAATTTATTCTCCGATTCTTTCTGAAAGGAAAAAAGCCTCTTCACTGCTTCTGACTAATAGGAATACCCACTTTCTACTACAATTTCATTTTTCTCTGCAGTTTCTTTTCCATTCATTCAAGAACTAGCAACACTTAAAAATCACAAGCTTATCCTTCCCTTCCCCTTTATTTCCACACCCAAAATACCTCAGTCCTATCACAAAAAATTACACAGCTGACTGGCAAGCTGGGATCTCCCTGCTATTCCAGGGCAACAGATAGACTCACTCCTCCTTCGACAGCACAGACAACTGAATCTCACATCTCATGCCTCACAAAGCACTTGCTCTGGTAACACAGAGCGGCCTGGAGACCTCGCCGTGCTCCA